ATGGTCTGAGAAGTGCAGTAGAGCTAGCACAAAAAGTTATTTGCGTTATTTGCACTATTAATGTGCTGTCATTGCCTTCCAAACATCTGAGGAGGACTTTCCCCTCTATCATTCCCAGAATTATCACATTATAGTCTCTCTCACACACTTAAATAAAGACATAAAATACAATCACCACCTATGCAGCACTCTCCAAGCTAAAGCCAGTGGGAGTGTTGACTATGGTAAGATTGCAGAAGCCAAGGTGCCAAATCTCATTTACAAAGCATTCCCTCCACATTTCTTTGAAAGGAGCTGGGTTAGGCTGTTAAGCAGAGGCTCTGTGACATTCATAATTTATTTTCCCTCCCAATATTCTTTTTATCAGCAAGTGAGAATAGCAGTATGCACCTCCTTCTAATGAGTTTAAAAAAAAAATGAAGAAAGAAATATCCAGCTGTATACATGTTTGGAAAGAGGAAATGGTTTTGTTTTGTTTTGTTTTCACCAGGTGTCTTAGGAATTGGGTATCTTTAATGCAGCACACCAAGAGCAACCTCCTAAAATGGTATACTAAAAATTAAAAGCAAAAATTCCTCCATAGGAAGGCTTCTTTTACAAAGATAAAACTTTATTGCTAAAAATCAATAAAATTTTAGAGACCTTAGAATGTTATAATAATTGTTGCCATATCAAGGAATATTCTTTTGAGCTGCTAAGCAGTTTTCACTATATGTTCATCAAATTACTTTGCTGATAAGAAAATCTGGGATCTGCATTTTTCAACAGTGTTGTATCTTTATCAAAAAACAAAACAAAAAAAACCACCCTGATTTTTGAGTTAAATGTGGAGTTTCTTTCTTACAAAGCTATTAATATTGGTAAGAGTATATATTTTTTTGCCAACATTTATTGAATTTGTCTATATTCTGCCTACGTTGCTGCATTTCCTTATTTAAACCCGACAACTCTATGATGTAAGTGATTTTATTAATCCCACTTAATAGATAACAAAAAGAAAGGTCAAATTATCTGCCAAGTTTGCACAGGTATTAAGTGACGTATCTTTTAACCACTATGCTATTAATAACAACTTGGAGAAGAAAATTAATGTATTTTAAAGATGCATTTTAACATTAAAAAGAACATCTGAATTGAGTATACATGAAATGTTATCATTTTAGGGTGGCATGCAACGGATTTATTTATAAATAATAAAGAGAATTGCTAAAATAGACAACAAGAATGAAAACCAGGTTAAGCCAAGGGCACAGTTAATCATGATACAAAAAAATGGGGTCCTAAATAATAGTGATTGCAATATTTGTAACAAAGAAAGTGAGACTTTCACTCTGCCAATATCAGATCACATATTCTAACAACACTTAGTTTGGTTTACAGTTTTAAAATGGATACAGAGAAGTGTTGCCAGATGGGGGCCAGCATAATTTAGTGGTTAAGAATGTGAGTCTGGCACCTGATACTTGGGTTTGAACTGGAAATCTACTTACCTGCCATGACCCTCGTAACTTATCTTATCTCTTACTGCTCCTATACTCTCAGCTGAACATTCAGAATAACAATAATAATAATAATAAATTACAGGGTTGTTAGGAGGATTTAATGAGAGCAAATGTTAGTAAAAGAAAAGCATTCAATTAATATTAATTGTTAGTAATTCAAAGAAACAGATGAATAGAATTTAGAAAAGTGGGGGACTCAATTCCCACGGACTCCGGAATCACAGACTTTTAAAGAACTAGACAGAAATTACAGTAAAATAATTCTAGCCAAAAAAAGAAAGAATATTGTGAGAATTAGAACTTCCCCTAAGACAGAATGGACATCTTCAAAATTAGGCATTGACTTAGTACATATATTGTAGAGAAGCTTAAAAGAGGTTTCATCAAGATATCTTTTAAGATTCCTTTAAAATTTAAGATTCTATGAAAAACATGACCTTAGACAATCATATGAAGCAACTTCTCTTACTATAAAAGAAAAACCAGTCAACAATGTCTAATCACCTTGTCCTTGAAGCCTAATATTTTCTAAAATTTCTAGCTCACATTGATCCTGCAATTCTCTGAATTGTTAGCATTCACGTAAATAAAACACAGATGTTTACATTTTTAAAATATGCAGTTTTATAATATGTCTAGCTTTTCTTTTTCAAAATTCCAAATCAGTGATCAGTGCTGAAAGACTAGACAGCATGCAATATATTGCTCTTCTTCACCTTATGGTACTAAGTACATTGTTAGACAGAGAAGTTAATGCTAAGCAAATCGTGATTTTCTGTTCAGATTTAAAGCATACTGTTGAACAGAAATTTCAATATAAATCCAAGAAATTTACTTGGAACAACCGTACTTTACTTGTATAATCAAAAGCTGAAGAAGAAAGTTATCTAGGCATTTCAGAAGTAAAGATACCTTTGTTTCCAACATTTGCACAAATAAATAGACTTAATTATAAGCCAATCCTTTATCAATACAGTGTATTTTTTTTATTTTCAGAAAATTGTAAAATGATCAGTAGTAACATTTCTCATTCCAGAAGCGTATCTATGTTGCTTTTTTAAAAATTAAATTTCCTGAAAAAAATGTCCACTGTAGAATCCTTAATGTATTATGTATGGGTTGCATCACATGTTTCAGAATTAGAATAACTGCTTTCTTCATTTCTCCTATAATAAAAACCTATTCATTTAGATTAATAATTGATTGATTATATAATTCATCCTATAGAATGCCTATTATTTCTCTGCATAAATTAAAATCACTTTGTCTCTTTAATTTTGACAAAGTGTCTCTTTAACTTTGACTCTTTTCCTACGAAAGTAAAATCGAAATTTAAATATGCATTCCTTTTACTTCAAAAAATGTAGAGAAAAGAACTCTCAATGTAATCTTCCTCTTTAAAAAGAAGTCTGTTTGAATTGCTGATCCTTTAAAAAAACTGACTCTATTTTGATTTATGAAGAAATGGTTTTTTTCAGAGTTTTAATTTCACACAACATAAAGGCAAAAGAATATATAACTAATTACACTAATAAATGACTGCATTTTTCTTTTCTATATCTATCTGATATAGATAAATACACAGATGGATAGACAGATCACAATTAAAGATCACAAATAAAGGCATTTAAACAAATATTAAGTTCAAATTCTAAGAAGTACAGAACTCTCCAAAAAAACACAGCCCTGTAGTAAAAACTTAGGAGTTTCTGAATCACAATGCCTAGGTTTCAATCTAGGATCCATCAGTTAAGTAAACTTCAACAAGCTACTTAATCTTTCTAAACATCAGTGTTTCCCCCTCTGAAAGAGGTTTCTCAATGTTATTTATTCTCATAAAATTCTGAGCATTTGATAACATAAAGTATCTAAAGCATTTTGAATTTATACTTAGCGTATAGTAAGCATTGTGTAACTATTTCAAATTACTGTTATCATTAGTAGTATCTGGTTATTCATAGTCCACTTAAGGAGCACAGCCAAGCCATTTAAAGAGCAGAATATAAAGCAGACTCTTCTCCATCGAGGGCTTTCTTGGTGCCCTGAGGCTTCAGAGAATGAATTATAATGTGTGGCTATGTTTCCAATGCTCTACAACTACGTGTTCTAGAACCACGGTACTGAACAAAGCTAACCAGGACATATGGGATAAACCCATTTGATACTGCTGTCTTAACCAGCAGTCTCCAAAATCAGAGGGAAAAAAAAAGTAAAGCAACATTTTGAACATGCACCTTGAAATAAATACATGATCTATGCAAACGACACACTGTAGTAAATAAATTACATAAAAAAACATTCGAAAGAAAGAACTAAACAAAGATCTGAACCTTTCTTCAAATCATTCCTCTGGAAATACTTCAGGTTAAGAAAAATAGGGACTGTCACCTCTGTCACCAGCAACATTGTTTATTATTGGTGAAATGCATCCGGACCAAAAGGACTGTGATTAAACTATACAATCATTTTGGGACTCACAGACCTCAGCCTCCTTGTGTACAGTGTGTTCTTGTTCCCAAGGGCATCCCTTGAGGGAACATCTGCTGTTCCCAAGATACAGGTTCCTGGGGAGTATGAATGAGCCTTACTCAATGCAAGGTGGTCCATGCCTACCCACATGGTTTCCTCATCTTAAAACAGAGGTGCAACACAAAGGAAGGAAGTAAATCTTTCCTGAGCACTTATAGGGACTCCTACCGAATAAGCACCTGATATCATTCTGTTAACATTCTGTGTTTCCTGCCCTGTATCCTGCTAAACCAAGTAAACCCACTGCCAGGCCTATTATGTCATGCAAGTGTGAATGTCAAGCCAAAGCCACCTAGTTACTGCTGGTGGCCATACAGACACAGGCTTATACAAAAATACATTATGCTTTTCATCTACATTCATGTACTGTTTTAAGCACCATGCTTTTGAGTGTACTGCTTCGCTACACATACTCTCAGAATACTTTAAGTATACTGTTTGTAATAAGCTTAGGATACGGTCTTTTTTCACTTCATGATTTTTTTTTTATTTAGTGATTTTGACAGATCATTCTCTTTGGTCATTTTAAATCTCTGCCTCTCTCTGCAAGTATTACATCCTATAGAACTTTCAAAACGAAAAACCGGAAATTCCATTGTTAAAAATCTTGCCTTAACAGGACAGTTTCAGGAAATACAAGTACTAAAATATCTTCCTGATGTTCTTCATTCTGAAAATTTTTCCTTTAGAAGATATTAGGATATACCCATAGAAGCTTTAGAAACTAAAAGGTTGTGGGAGATGTAACTCTAAGTTTTAAATTTAATATACTTTATATTAGTTTCATTAAAATATGCTATGCTAGAAATAGCATATTCTTCCATTCTTGATACTATCCTGAACGGTAAAGAAACGATTTATTCCACTCTTGACACTTTTACCACTTCCGTGAAACTTCCTATAGAGCTGTCTTTCATTACCCCATTTTGGGGCACAAATGGTTTTAAATACATTTATTTTAAAACTTACCCTGAAACATGCAACATCAGCAGCATGTAGAAGACAAAGAAGAGGTTATGAGTATACCAGAAGATATCATAGTTAGAAACTCTGCAAAAACAAATAAATTCATTTTAATGCGACTTTACATTCTATCTTACTAAAAATATCAAAAATATCACGTATCATTTCAAACATATCTCACAATTTTAGAAAGCTAACATATGAATACATCTGATATTTATCTATTAATACCAAAGTATTAACACATCACATAGAGAAAACTGACAAAAATTATGAGTAAGACTTTAATCACATGGAAATGTTTATTTTCAAGTTATTATAATATAAGGCTAAGAATCAGATAGTAGTCTGCTAACATGTAGCTTGGCTTTTATTTTATCAATATTCTCAATTTTCAAATAATTTCCAAAAAATAAACAATGTTCCTCTTTCAATATATATTTTGAGAGTATTAAGGAAGACATAAAAAGGGAAAAATTTAAATAAATGATAATCAAAGTATTGTATTTTTCCCTGGACAGTGTAACAAGAATGATACCTTGATGTTATTGCTCTGGGGGAGGACAAATACTCTGAAAAGAAAGGGAATGAGAAGCATAATCTAAGGAATGTTTGAGAGAAGTAAAACAGTAACAGTTATTTTACTTCATATGTCTAGAGTGGATTTTATATATTAGAATCTTGGAAGCAGAGGGCAGATACTTACAAAAGCTTCCTATATGGTTCTGATACTTCCCCTAGACTCTTAGAGAAACCTTTATTTAAGCAGCAGGAAACTGCTTCACATTTTCTCCACTCATAGTATTTGCTATCATAAACAATATCACTACTGCCCCTTACAATATATATAAAATTCTGATCCTTTTTTTAATCAAAACTATTAGAAGTTGAATTGTAAGATTAAGAGATACACATTTGTAATGCTTTTAATACACACTGCCCATTGCCCTCTAAAAATATATTTATTAATTACAAACCCAACCATAGAGTAGGAGTGTCTATATCCCAAAACTCAGACCAAATATTATGTTTTCATTATTTTTTATAAGTAGGATGGGGTATTATTTCATATGTGTATTATTCACTTTTAATTCTTCGGTGACCTTTCTGTTCTTAATCATTACCCATTTCTATGGAGGATTTTTAATTAATATGTGTAATTGATCTAGACCTACATTTGCTTAAACTTTACTTTCCTCATAAGCTTGTAATGTCGCCTTTATTATCTAGCAGGTTCTTATATACAGTAAGGTCATTTACACGGCTTTTTACTGACTTTGCCCCTTGGTTCAATGTGTTGCTCATTTTTGCAAGTTAATTTCTACTCTCTTTTAAGTTACTGAAGTTTAATCATTTTAATGTTTAGTAAGGTTCATCCCTCCTTTTACTCCTCTTTTGAAATATGTACTTGGATGTGCCCTCAGATGAACTTTGGAATCACTTTGCTAAATTAAAAAAACAAGCAAAATAACCTGTCTGAGAATGTTACTGACATTGCAACACTCCTAAAAAAAAAAAAAAAAAAAAAAAGAACTGAGGGTTCAGCCATGGTGGCTAACGTCTGTAATCCAACACTTTGAGAGGCAGAGGTGGAAGGAGTACTTGAGCCCAGGAGTTCAAGACCAGCCTGGGCAACATATTGAGACCCTGTCTTTACAAAATAAATACAAAATTAAAATTAGCCAGGCGGTGTGTGCCCGTGATCCTAGCTAATAGGGAGGCTGAAGTGGGAAGATCACTTGAGCCTGAGAGGTCAAGGTTGGGGCTGCAGTGAGCTTAATCTCACCACTGCATTCCAGCCTGGATAAAAGAAAAAGACCCTGTGTCAAAAATTAATAATAATAATAAAATAATTAAAAGGAAGAACCATGCTTTATAGTATACAGCCTTTATTCAAATCTCTACGTATCTCTCAGTGAACATATTTGTTTTGTCTTTAGATATTTTATGTTTTGCTGCAATTATGAGTGGTATATTTTTATTTTATTCAATTTTTCAAACTGATTATATCTAATATACAGAAGGATTGTTTTTATGTTTGTTTTATATTCAGTTACCTTTATCAATTCTTTTTGCTGGTGTTAATATCAAATTTTTCCAAAATTCTCTTGGATTCTCTTAGAAACCTAATAATTACCATTATTTCCAGAAAGAGTAGATATAATTCCAGAATTATATCTTGAGATATATCTTGGGGGTGTTTTTTTTCAAAATTCTCAAGAATTATATCTACTTTTCTGTAAATAATGGTAATTTATTGTTGCATTTTTTCTAATAATTCCAAATGTTTCATTTTTTACTGTATGTAAATATTGGTAGAATTAAAAATACTTAGTAACTGCCATTTTAAAATCAATTGAGATGAGAATATGTATTCCCATCATCTAATAATGGGATATATTAATTATTTTAATAGATTGATCTATATTGAACTCTCCTTGGATTGGGAGGCTACATTTCACCATCAGAAATCAAACATTGGGGACATATTTATTCACTTGGTTTGTCTAATGCTTTAGTTTCTCCATGGAAAAAGAAAAGGTAAAAGAAAAGAGGTATCTGTCTTCATGATCCATTGAAGAATTTCAAGGTTCTAACAATAACACTTACAGAAAAGCAAACTAGATGTTATAATCTTGTTTAAACAAATTATAATAAATCATAAAGAGCACGGAACATTAAGGAGTGCTAAAATTGTTTATGAGAGCAAGTGTAAAAGCTCAGTTCAGAATAGAAGCTAATCTTTTCCATTTGACAAAGCTATACCTCAAGGATTTCAAAATAACTATGTCAGATGCTCTAATTTTCCTTCAAGAACACCTAACATTGAAAAAGTGAGATTTTAAAAAAAAAAAAAAAAGATGCCTCTATCTAAATAAAATAAAATTGCTCCCCACAAAATTGGCACTCTCATATACTAAAGTTAGTGAGTTGCCTTTATGTAAACCAATTTTTCATTCTTAGGAAAAGCTTTAAAAGTATTCTTACAATTTGACTCAGCTATCCCACATCTAAGAATTTTTCCTTAGGACATCATTGAAAAAGTATGCAAAGACAGCGATGGGGGTGCTTGTTTCAAAACTGAAGTACCAAAAAAATTAAAATCTGCCCAAAACATAGAGTAAGATGGGTCCGAGAAAATAATGTATAAAGACCTATATGGTGATGTGCTGTGCCATCACTAAAGAGAATAATAACAAAATATTTATTAATGTGAAAAATGTTCATAACATAAATGCAGTTTAAAAGTAAATTAAAGATAGTATTCTAATATGGTCCTATTTCAGTAAAATACATAGGCACATGAGAGACAAAGAATGATCTGGGGGGAGGTGAATTAGTGAAAAAGAACAAGAAGGATTTAACATATAAAAATACACTGCATATGTACAGTATTAATCTTTGGTTAGTAAGTATACTTACGTGAAATTTTGGGGTGTGTGTATGTGTGTGCACAAATGTTAAGAAGTATAAGGACAGATTCATTTAAGTATGTTACTGGGCAATTATTTTCAAAGCATATATACATATATATTTCGGTATTTCTATTAAATTTCACATTTCAACAAGTAGAACAACTTAAGACTTTTGAAGATTAGAGGAAATATATGTTATGTTTCTCATTTTTCTTTTTTGCTTTAAGTAAAAATTTTATTCAGAAACATAGATACTACAAATATTCTGAAAAATTGAATATGTCTATCAGAAAGGACATGTGAAAGTGTTCCTGATAATGTATACTTCATTTTGCTCAAAATCTCTTAACTATAAGAATCAATATGAATGCAGATAATTTCTTACCAATCCAGAAAATTTGCTAATGCAAAGATAATTTTCAAAAACAAAAAATCACATATAGAAACAGTAAACTTCACTCTTAGTAACCCAGAATAGTTCATTAACCAGGACACTACAATGGTTAAATACTTTGGTTACTCAAGACTTTTGCTAAATAACCTGACAAATAAACATCAAAATAATTGACTCTGACACTTACCTTATTGCATAAGTAGAAGCTGTGATCATGAGGAACAGCACCACTACCATGCAGACCCCTGTCAGGCCAGGAACTATAAGAATGTACACAAGTACGTTTTTACTTAAATCATAGTGAGAAAAAAGTACAAAAAATGATTATATTAGACTCCAAAATACTATGCTGTTCTGTGGGAAGCTGAATTCAAATCCCATATCTACATATATGTTGTCCCTCAAACAAGCCTTTTATTTTTCTATTTTTTAAAATAATTTTCTTAATTGACAATAATTGTACATAGTTATGGAGTACATAGAGATGTTTCCATACATACAAGGTAAAAGTGATCAGATTAGATTAATTAGTATATCCATCCATCATCTCAAACATTTATTATTACTTTGTGTTGGGAATATTCCATATCCTTCTTCTAGCTATTTGAAAGTATGTAATACATTACTGTTTACTATAATCATTCTACAGTGGTATAGAACACCAGAACTTACTAAAATCAGCACAGTTTCAAAGTCTTTAAGAAAAATCAGGGTCTTTTATCTATTTTACAGAAGATTATATTTTTTTATTCTCAAATATTCTATCCACAATGGCAAATATGTACTTACTTCTAAAGGTACATACTAAATATCAGTAATTAACACAACAGGACAGGGTTAACATTCAGCACCCTTAGTGTTTTGGTTTTAGCCACCATAGTACTAAATCTCCCTTATGCTCTCCTTTGTTTTACGAAACTAAGTAGTGCCTTCAGTTTCAATTTCAATTAACTATTCTTAGGCTTCACTACCTAGAATAATTTTAAACAGAAAATAAGCAAAGCCTAAAGTGTCTTCAAAAACCACAAGGCACAGAACAAAAAATTGTAGATTTCTAGAATAAACAACAATGTTGATGTTTTCAAAATACTTGCAAACACATTTCTTCTTAGTATGAAAAATATGCTGAAATCAGTGCTACAGATATGGGATAAAGTTTTTTTTTTAAAAAAAAAAACAAAAAAGAAAATGTACAAATATACTGTCAAAATTATAATGGCAGGATAGATTACCACAAATCTATCATTAGCACATATAGCATGTGGAAATGAATAGCTAGCTGAAAAACCATATCCTAAATAGCTAAAGTATTAATGGTTTCCTTTAGTATCATATTACTACAAAATTAAATATCCTGTCAATAAGTTACATCTGTTTACATTCACAAGCAACAGTAAGTCCTGAATACCCCAGCTGAGAGAATTTTAAATCAGACTACAACGAACGATATTGGGACAATTCCACCTGGAAAAGTGACAATCCTCTGCTTCTTGTCTTATCAAGGAACCTGCTATGGAATAGAAGGGTTGTCACGGACTATGCGTCACCAGCAGAAGCAGACACCTTGGGTACAACGTAAGAGCAACACAGGTGTGCATCATCAGAATTCCCGAGATAGAATCACCGGAAAATAACAACATTTGAAATCTCAGTACAGTAGAAACAAATTTCACTTATAAAGCACCACATGAAAAATAAGAGAATTAGTCTATAGATTCTTAGCCCTTGAGTATGTGCACTCCTCACTCTCCCAGTAGACAGTTTTGGAAGCCTAGCAAAAGGAGCCCTTATGTACCTAATCCAAATCATTTCTTCTCTACGTTTCCTTCCTAGAGTACTTCCTTACCCATTGATTTTTCCATTTCCTTCAGGTGAGTGCTTACTTTGTAGAAGTAAGAGATGAGCAAGATAACTAGCCTACTTCACTCTAAAGAACTAGCAGCGTGAAAAATACACTATTTTAGAAAAATAGCATGCCTGCAAACTAATCCAGCCATTGTGATTCCAAGTATTTACCCAAAAGAAACACAAACATATATCCATGCAAAGACTTGTTTAAGGATGTTCATAGCTACTTATTTTTAACAGTCAAAGTCTATAAACAACTCTGATATTCTTCAACAGATTAATAGATAAACAGTTGTGGTACTATCTGTGTCTGAGAAATCAGCATTTAAAAACCATAAACTGTTGATATATAAGCAATGACATAGATGAATCACAAAATTATTAGACTGAGTAAAAGAAGCTAGACCACCCCAGCCCCCAAAAAAAGTAAAAACTCTATGATTCCTTTTATATAACATTCCAGAAAATTCACACTATTCTTCAGCAATAGAAAGCAGATCCATTAGTAGGAGGGGTAGATGGCAGGATGCATTACAAAAGAGCACAAAAATCTTCTGTGATAATAAAAATATTTATCACCTCGCTTTTGGTGAGGGTTCCACTAGTGTGTATGTATGTATATATGTATATATGTATATATCAAAATGAATCAAACTGCATACTTTATATGTGTATAATTAGTGTACTTCAATTATAATTTCATTAATTTGAGAGTAAAAGGAAGAAATTGGTCTCACTGTTTCCAGGTGTTAAAAAAGAAAACCATTATTTGATCAAAAGAATAACTAAATGATAGAATCTCGGATGGCTACACAGTGTAAAATTATAGTTAGAAGGGCCATTCCAATATTTTATTGGGTGTTTATTAGCATTCTATGTCTTCATACAATTTCCTGTATGGTTCTGAAAATGCCAAGATTAGTCACGGAATGTCTGCAAATTACTTCATCGAAAGAACACCTGAAAAAACAGGATATGTTTGGAATAGAGCCATAATTTCCAAGCTGTATTATTTGAAAATTAATTCCTTGAAATGCTAATTTCTATTACTCAAAAATGCTATAACCATTCCTTAAACAGTCACAGGGTACACTGATGTATAAAAGTCTCTGAGAAGTATTAAAGTCAAGAAATCTGATTAAGCTTAAATATTTTCTTAAACTTATTAGACCAGAGAATTCCTTTTAGGTCAGAACATGAAAACATAATGGAAAGACTTAGAGGAGATGAAAGAGTTTACTTTAGTCAGTTGAGGACAAAGTAGGAGCCCCAGACAACCAGCCAATGATGTATACGGTCTGGGATTACATTCTTGTTACTGTCCCTTAGGCAAAACTCCAATCTCACTGAATCTCATCTGCAAACTAAAGAAAATAAATATGATCATTTTCCATGTTCCTTCAGATTTATAAAGTTATCTCTTTTATCTAAAGAATATGCTTCTCCTTTTTATTTCCCAAAAGTAAAAGATCAAAGTGTATAATTAATAAAGTAACAGATTTCAGATCAATGAAGAACTTACTATTAGCAAGGGCAAAAAAGTTTACTATAGGCAGACTGGTCAAAAAGTCAGGGGTAACTACCTTAAGAAACCCACTGGAAACACACAAGCAAAGGCTGGCTAGCCTATTATCTGGGATGTTACAGAGAACATCTATGCATCAAATAAAAAAGTTAAACAAATGACTTTTACACACTCAATGAATGGTTTGTAGGCATCTACAGTGTACTGTTAAATGCTAGAGATAAAATAAATTCTTCTCTACAAAAAAAAAATAAAATAAAATCCCAGTCCACTGGCGGAGACAGATAGGTTAAGCAGGCAGTTGCAACACAGGGCATTAAGTGCTCTGAAGAGAGCTAAGCATTGAGTGCTTTCAGGGCACATCAAAGGGCACCAAGCTAGCCTTGGTTGACAACTCAGCTAAGTCCAATACATTAACCTTATTACTACACATTCCAAGAATCTGCAAACGCAGGCTGGAAATCACTGGGCTAGTCTAATCTCACTGGGCAAAGTTACTCGTCCAAGTGAAGTACTTTGATTCTCCTGTGAATTTTTTTAGTCCTTCAAGTTAGGAAGCCAAACCAATACTAGTCTCCTTAGCAAAACACTTGTTTATATGTTTATTCTTATGGCTTTATGTTTATGGATATTAGTAATCAGTAGTTTTTAAAATGAATAATTTCATGACATTGTAATTTCTAAATGAACCTGAAAGATTATTTTCATTCATACCCAGGTGTGGTCAGAAATATACCATTATCTGTTCATTATCCTATTTTCCTAAAATAATTGGAAACATACTTATATTTGTTTATAAGGGTTTTTAAAATTAAAATTAGATATTATGTGTTTTATTCTCACCATATAAGGTCTTACCAAATTTGAAGATATGTAGTAAGCATTTTTAAGTGAACATTTAGATAATTCAATCTATTAATCTTATCTTATAAATCTTTAATTGGAATGTTTTTAACATTTCTTATGTAGTAAGTTTAGCCACTATATTTTGTGTCACTTTTATAGCCAAAATCTTTTCCTACAAGATAATCTTAATTTGTCAGTACTAGATTCCATTGAAAAAATTTCAATACACAGACATAAAAGAGTCTATGTAACATTAAACCAACTAAATTCCATGAAATCTGTTAACCAATAAAAATATTCTTTATCACTAGAACACCTAAAAACAAACATGCTTTCCTTCATCAGAAACTTAATTTCTCCTAGGTGCTGTGCCTGAGAACATTCAGAAATGGCTGTGAAATAGTTTTAGTCAGTATTAGTGATACAAAGCTGGATTAAGTTCATTTGTAGAAAACAGTGTCTTTCATCCCATTACCATCCTTAGACTCTACTTTGCACTCTGACCTGTTATTCATCAGTGAGGACAAACAGATGCCTCAGGAGCTCCAGACTCACACTTACGGAGCCCTGTGTCTGAGCCCCAGCTCCAGGCTGATGACCTGGGAAGTGAATGCCTCCTGATGGCCAGCATAGCATTTCTTTCTTGAAATTATGTGAGACTGTGAGGGAATGTGTTCGCTTTCCGGGTCCACGAAGGGTTGTAGTTTTAAGGGCAAGAATTTCCCAGTGCCATGCCTCCTCTCCCATCTCTCTCCATCCAGGAGATTTAACGGTTTATGTTTGAATTTCGCAGGCACGGGAAGAAACTAAGAGTCAGTCACACCAGTGGAAGTTTAAAGAAACTCCTTTCATTGGCCAGAGGAACTTGGGAAGGTGGGAATTTCTCCCAGGATAAATTCCCCTGCTCCGACACTGGATTTCCAGCTCTCTGGAATCCCGTCCCAGATGATGGGCGCTCCCTTTCCCCTCTGGATTTCCCCTCTGGAATCCTCTTCCACACTCTTCGTGTGGAACTCTTTCTCTTCTTCTCTTTTCTCTACCTAAATAAAATCACCTTTCCACAACACTTCTTGGGTCTGATATTTACTTTTACAAGCGGACGGCACACCTGCAGTGGTCCCATCACTTATTCTTGAAGAGAATGGAGACCAAGAACCCACAGCATTCTCTCGGGGGAGCTGTTCGTCACCAGCACCCAAGAAAATAGCCGGTTACAACTGGGCCACCAAAATCTTGCTAATTTGCTGATTTGGGTGAGTCAGATTGTTTATATTGCTAGAGGCCATAAAAAATGTTACCTAAGACCCTGCATATTCTAGAAGCAGCACTTCCCAACCCAAGAGAAGCTCACCTACAAGTGGAAAAGACACTATATGTAAGGAAATAAGCTTTTCTACAACACAGTATTTTCAGTCATCCTTCAGTATCCATGCGATTGGTTCCAGGACGCCTCAAAGATACCAAAGTTTTAAAATGCTCAAGTATTTATACATAACCTGTGCATATCCTCTCACATAATTTAAATTATCTCTAGATTACTTACAATACCTAATACAAAATGCAGGTACTAGTGAGATTGTATACTCAAGAGTATGATGAGGTGTTCAGTAGTGACAGGACAGCAGCTCCTGAGGTACCAGGGAAAGTTAGTAAAACATTTTGCCAAGTCTATCCCAGAGACACTCTAAGGTAGACCTAAAAAATTTGTATTAAATGTCTTCTCTACTTAGTCCAACACCATGCGCAGGGACCTCTGGGAAAGAACACAGGATGATGAGGTTGCACACTAGGTAGAGAAATTACCTGCTTATTAGAAGTATTAATTATAGTAAGTGTCATAATGTAATCTTAGTCACATAACAAATCTTTTTGTATCTTTGTAAACTAAAGTTTTTAAACTTTTTAAAGCACTTTAAAGTTTCCGAGGCTTCAATTAAACTTATGTTTTAGAAAATAATATTAAACAAAGTTTTTGTTTTTCTCTCATTAAACCAAAAAATACATGGATTCATACATAAGGTTTTGTTTTTCTGTACTTTTGTTCTCATCCAATTCTTCTGGCTTAAATGAAAACATGTTTTCAATGAGCAAAGTTGTAAGCAAAAGTAAATTGTGTTCCTAAAGAGAAAATTGTGAAATACTTTATGAGTGGCAAGTATTATAAATCTATAAGCAAAATAAATAAATAAATACATAAATCTATAAGCAAAAGCAAAATATATTTTATAAATCTCAATATATAGCTTTGACATGAATGGGAAAAGCACTAGAATTATTGTGATTTTTCATCATAAAATTGATTCAAAAGAAAAACAATGCATTTGACAGGCCAACACGCCTCAGTCCTATATGCAATTCTAATACTTAATTGGGTATTACAGTCAAAAATTTATGATAGATCATTTCAACTATGCAATCATCCTTGTCCCTGAAACATGGGCTAAAAATTTTCCAAATGCATCTTTCATCTTTATAAATGTTAGGTTGGAAAAAGAAAAATTTTAGTAAAAATTGTTAAACATCAGGGGAAGTTCTAAGATGTTTAAACATACTTTAACAAATTAATAGTCTAGACTGGGATTTCATGGACAATAAGCTTGAAAAGGTAAAATAAATTACAAATGAAATAGGAGACACATTTCAAAGAAATAACTTATTTTAATGACTGTTTCTCCTCTTTGTTGTAGATTTTAAGATTATAAAATGTTACACTAAAATGACTGAATTATAAGAACTATATGGATACCCACAGTGCTTGGTGTTTCTTTCCAATACAGTAAGGGCAGGGGCCTGTTCCACGTGCTTTATCTCCCACAGCAATTACTACGGCAGCCGGCACAAAGCAGGCCCTTCATAAGCATGAGGTTCTATTGTTTTGATTGGAAGAATATATGACAGTGAAATGTATTTGCTTATTTTTACCCTCCATTCATTCACACCCCAGTGTTTCCATTGTCTCTCTGTTCTCATTGCAACGTTATCTTTGAACTCCACACAAACTTACTCTTATATGCAAATTTTCCATTATAATTTGATAATGCTTACTTTTAAAGATGTTTCTGAATCTAAAGAAAAGACTAAGAATAACAACTTACCAGTTGTGAAGAGAAGTTTTCTAGGATCCTGAGAAAAAGGATAAAAATTAATGACTGAAAAATAAAGCACTGATGATTCTATAAAGGGTATGCAGGATCTACATGCCATATATTGGTCAGGTAAAATACTGTTCACCCAACGGAAGTGAGAAAGACTCAATTAAGTTTTGTAACATTTTTACAATGCTAGAGGAGATTACAAGTAAAAACCCAACTCAGTGAAATCTATCCATCTGAGGCAAAATACTGGATGACTCAAAACACCTAACCATTATTCTCAATGGCTACCTACAAGCTAGTAACACTGGTTTTAAGCCCATCTTTGACCATTTTGAGACTCAACATCTTAGTCATGATGTTAAAGTATTAGTATATACTCCGTCTACCATAACTGTGAACCTACATCACAAGATGTGAAGACAGAATTAAAACCAATAAAATATGTAGGGCATTTTCACATTGTAAGCTCAGTACAAAGATGACTAACTGAGAACTTTCCATGTTTCAAATATAGTGAAAAGTGATGAGAATACTCAAATAAAGATCAGTTTCTGCTCTTGGAAATATGAAACATTAATACTGTTATAATATTGTACAGTTTCCCTTAAACTATATCTCTTGTGCTCTAATGGGTTATAGTCAATTCCCTTCTACCTTCTGGAAAACCCATCCCCACTAGATTTGTGGATTTACTTTTATTTGCATGGTGCTTAATATTTCACAAGCTTTTGAATTCCTTTCCTTGTGCCTTCAATGAATCTGGGGTCAGGCCAGACTATATACTAAGAAGGAAACCATTTATATAGTGTCATTTTGGGGTCTTTGAATAAGGACCACTTGCCCAGGAATAGATCCTCACCTGGCTTAACTCAATTGACTTCTATTCCAACTATTAGAAACATGGCTATAGGGTGATCTAGGGAAACGGAACACATAAACAACCCATAAAAATATAATATGAGCTGAACAAAGTATAAGGCTAAAAATGTGAATAAATACCTATAGAAACCCAGAAGATGGAACAATTAATATTGCTAGAGAAAGAAAATGAAACAGAGTGAGAGACGGTTTCACAGTGGCAAGATGAGGCTTAGCTGAGCTATCAAGAAAGTGCAGTAATCACAAACTGGAAGATGAATCCTTCCATGCAGAGTAAAAGCATAAAACAAGAACAATAGGGTATATGGCACAAACCATCTTTTTCAAAGCCAGTTCACAAAATAACATATGTGTTGATCGTGTATGTGTGTGTATACATATATATATAATCACTATATAATATATAACATATGCATAATATATATGCCATATTTATTAATATATTTAAATATATATTATTATATATACACACTTGTATTTTCATCTATATCTAATGCATTGCCTTGTACCTATTAGATGCTAAATACATATTTATTAAAAAGAGGGAAAAAAAGAATAAAGAGAGACATGAAGGAAGGAATAAAAGAAGAAAGTGAAGGTAGGGAAATATTAACTTAAAACAATGAGTTGCCATTTTCATCCATCAGGATTGGGAAAAGAAGAACAGAGATGAGTTGTAAAAATAGGCATTCTGATATTGGTTAGAAGTGTGGAAACAGGAGAAGACTTTATAAAAAGGAATTTGGCACTGTCCATCAAAACTAAAAATGTGCAACTTTTTAAACCAAAATTCTACAACTATGTATCTGTGTAGCAGAAGTGGACAAAGAAATACATTTACTGGAGCGTGGTTCATAACAAAACCTTAGAATCAACATAATGTCTGAATAAGAAAAAGACTAAAAATAAATTTTAGCCCTGTGATATGGAGAGAATGAGAAAGACCAAGATATTTTGATACAGTAAGGCATAATACGTATATTTGTAGAAACAAGCAAATTGCCAAGGAATATATATCATAAAATGCCACTCAAAACATCAGAAAAATACATAAGAAACTGTGGCTTGTTTTGGAGGAGAAGCTTTCACTTTTAACTTCACTTATTGAGAGTTTTAAAATATTTTATATTGCACATGTATAACTTTTCAAAGAAAATAAATTTAATAACTGAAAACCTTGAAATCACTAAAAATACTGGAACTTCAGCAAAAGCATATTCTAACCAAATGAGAAAACCACTGAAGTTATTAATGACATGAATTCTGAAAAGAGACAAAAAGAAGGAAAAGAGAATCAAGGAAAATATTATAACAGGGGCAGGAAACAAGTAGCTAGTGATTTGAGCAGAGGGCAGCAGAAGAGAGGGAAGCGGGAGGGAATGAGACAGGGAGAAGTCAAGGCTGGGTCTGAAATCTTTACATGTGAAAAGCTGTCACTGGCCTGACAAGGAGTTGAAATTTTTCAGTGGTTCTCGGTGCTGGATTCACTCTACACACCCGGTAAGCTTTCAGAAAATACCAATGCCTGCCTCCCAACCCAGACCAATTAGATCATATTGGTATTTTTAAAAATACCCATAGAGGCAAGGGCTATATGAAAGGTTGCTTGCTATGTTGGTTTTGTGATTTGTTTCCGTGTTTGTTTGTTGTTACTTTTTCCTTATTTTGAGAGGAGGTCAAGCACACGATCACAACAATATTAAATCTAGAAAACTCTGGTGACCTGTGGAGGACAAAAAGGCGTGGGGAAGATGGGAAAAATCTGAATAAGTCACTACCAAACTTAGTCTGCAGAACAGGAGAATAAGGGTAGGGGATGCTGATTAAATGGGACAGAGCAGTTTGGTTTGGATGTAGTCTTGGCATTGTGAAGCAAAGGCAGCCTGAGGACTGTATGAAAGCATCAAGCAACAGAGACCTAACTGGGCTGAGCATGTGCTGTTCGTCAGGCCCTGGGCTGCACCTTGCACATATAATTTCATTTCACGGATGGCTTCACACGGAGAAAAACACTCTATGTCAGATATTGCCTGCTACAGAATTCAATTCAACATCACCAATTTGAGGAATTTTTTAAATGAAAGAATCATGAAAACTCACTAATATTTGTTAAGTCAAATAAACTGATTTATCCAGGATTCACAAATAATCAATCTACTTTTCTTCCCTTTTCCCCCAAACCCCGTATGTTAGTTATAAACTATTTTTTCCTTGTAATGGCACTGTCGACATTCTCAGCTAAATGACAGGAATTAGACAAAAGCTGCTGGGAGTCAGAGGCAGACCTGAGTGGCAACCATCTGAACATTGCAGAATATAGAAAGCAGACATTCTACCAACTCCTACTTTCAGCAGGAGAGACTATGAAATAGTAATTACTTATATTTTCTATTGAAAAGAAATAAAACTCAACTTGACAACTGCATTTTAAAAGCACTCAAAAGAAGTAGGTACAAATTTTCAGCGAAAATCACAGACCCTCATCAGTCATCTCATGACAAATGAAAGGAAAATGGGAAGACAGAGACCACCCACCTCATCTCGGTATCTTGCTGCATTCAGTTCAACAAAATCTTCACTGTAATTCACTGAGAAACTGAGGGCATTCACCAGATGGGCAGCCACGTGCACGCCTGCAGAATTGCACCATGAGCAAGTTAGTGGGATTTTCATACATGCTGTATGTCAAGGACTCTGTTCTCCTCTCCATGAGTAAACACAGGGTCAAGCTTTGACAGCTATATGGGCGATGCAATAATACATTGAAAGGTGAAGTTTTAAAGAAACAAAAAACTTAATAATACTTTACCAAATTTTCAAAGGCTATAAAGTAAGTCAGCAATAAGAAAAAACATATACACACACATGTCCTCCCCCTCAACACACACACACACACACACATCCTCCCTCAACAGATCCTCCTCCCAACACACACACACAACTTCCCCCCAAACACACATATGCACACACGCGTCCCCTCCCCCAAGACATACACACATATCCTCCCCTCAAAACACACACACACACACACACACACACACACACACATTTACATAAATGTGTGTCTAATGATATGATTATTTATTTATTTACTCAAGCAGGATATTTTAGGTATTCCATATCTTTCACGTCTTCCATAGCTCCGAACCTGCTATTAATATATATCTTGCATACTTCCCTGTCCCACAAGGTAAATTATAGGCCCACTGAAAGACTTTCAACCAGTAGAAATATTTTACAATCCAGAGATTTAAATCATAATATTTTTAACCCAACAGAAAAAGTGTTTGGAATCACTTCAAGGGACAAAATTCAGGAAAATAATAATCACAGTAAACAGAGTGCTAGCTCATATGAAAAACAGGAATGTTAGGAAATTACTAGAGACGTGAAGACAAACATTTTGGCAAAGCCAGGGTAATAAAAATCATCTTGCAGAGGCTGGCTAAGGAAGAAGAAAGTGGGATGTGCATGGGCCCATCACAACCTCCCCCTTGCCCAATCTTTGCTTGTAAGCAAAATAAGGTGTGAATTAACAGCACATTTTAATACATTGAAAAGTACAACAGGTAACTCACTGGAAAATTTGTGATCTTGGTCATATTACTTGCCTCTCAGGGCCCTTAATTTACTTCTCTATAAAATGATGGTGACAGAAACAAAAGACTTAATGAGATAAGTGATCTGAAATTGTTTAGTAAACCATTTCAGTTCACAATATATGGAGTATGGTGGTTCAAAAGAAGACATAGCCTGGAATCTAGAAAACTGTAACTTTCCACAACCCATAATACGAGATGCAGAGGGCTTAGAGTTCTAAAATACGAAAAACAATGAAAATGAGAGAGGACTAGAATGCTAAAATGCCTGAGAGTTATTTACATGACTTATAAGGTCCTTCAAGTAATCAAATTAGAGGTGGAGGAAGAGTCAGAACTTATTATAAAGTTATAGTAAACAAGAATATATAGTCTTAGCAAAGTAAAAGAAAAATAGGTTAATGAAACAGAATGGAGAGCCCAGAAATCCACCCACATAAATACAGTCAAATGATCTTTGACAAAAGAGAAAAAGCAATACAAAGAAGAAAATGACTTTGTCACTAATGGAGCTGAAACAAGGGAACATTCACATTTAAATAAATCAACCTAGACATAGACTTTACAACCCTCACAAAAATTAATTCAAAATTAATCACAGATCCAAAAGTAAAATGCAAAACTATAAAGCTCCTTAAAAGAAGCACAAAAAAGTCTATATGACCTTGGGTTTGGTGATGACTTTTTAGATACAATGCCAAAGACATGATCCATGAAAGAAAGAATTAATAAGCTGGACTTCATTAAAATTGAAAGTTTCTGCTTTGCAAAATATATTGTAAACATATGAGAATACAAGCCACAGATTGAGAAAAAGCATTTGCAAAAGACATATCAATAAAGGATTGTTATCCAAAATATGCAAAGAACACTTAAAATTCAACAACAGGACAACAAACAACCCAATCTAAAAATGGGCCAAAGATCATAGTAGATCCCTCACCAAAGAAGATATGTAGATGGCAAACAAGCATACGAAAAGATGAACCACATTATATGCCATCAGAGAAATGCAAATTAAAATGACAAGTTACCACTATGTACCTATTAGAATGACCAAAATCCACAATTCTGATAACACCAAATGTTGGTGAGATTGCAGAGCAACAGAAACTCTCATTCATTGCAGGTGGGGGATTCAAAAAATGGCACCACCACATTGGAAGTGAGTTTGGTGGTTTCTTAGAAACTACCCGCACTCTTACCACATGAGCTCACAATCTCATTCTTTGATATTTACCCAAAGGAGCTAAAAATGTATGCCCACACAAAAACATGTACGTGAATATTTACAGCAGCTTTATTCAGAATTGCCAAAATCTGAAAGCAACCAAGATGTCTTTCAATAGGTGAATAGATAAATAAACTGTGGTACATCCAGACAAGGGAATGCTATTCACCACTATAAAGAAATGAACCCTTAAGCCATAAAAAGTCACAAAGGAAACTTAAATTCATATTAATAAGTGAAATAAGCCAATCTCAAAAGGCTACATACTGTATTATTCGAACTATATCACATTCTAGAAAAGGTAGAATTATGGAGACAGTAAAAAAAAAATCAGTGGTTGTCAGGGGTTAGTGGGAAAGAAAAGATAAAAAGGCAGAGCAAAGAGGATTTTTAGGGTCGCGAACTATTCCGCATCATACAATAATGGTGGGTATAGGTCGTTACACATTTGTCCCAACTCATAGATAGTATAGCAACAAGTGGGAACCCTGATGTAAAGCTTGGACTAAGGTGATAATGATATGTCAATTAATGTAAGTTTATTGATTAAAAAAACTGTACCACTCTGGCAGGGGATGTTGATAATGGGGGGAGGTTGTACATGTGTAGGGACAAATGATATATGAAAACTCTTTATATTTTTCTTTCAATTTTGCAGTCAACCTAAATTTGCTCTTTAAAAGAAAAGTCTTTAAAAAAATTTTTAAGAGAAAAAAATGGACAGGAAGCAAGAATGAGTTAACTAACATTCAAGGATAAGTTTCCAAAGAAGTAAAACAAAGGGTGTCTAGGTGTGACACAACTATAGCACAGGTATAAAATACTATTTAAACAAAACTGTCTGTGTCATATGGCTTCATCAATACCCAAATGTATAGTAAAATAATCCTTTGATTTTAAATTAAAAGTTTATATATTAACTACATGCTCTATGGCTAAAAAATACAGAGTCATCTATAGAAGAATTACTATTCTTTCTGAATGTCTCTGAAAAAAAAATGTCATTGGTAACAGCTATAGAAAATATATCATTAAGGGATATATTCACCTTTTTAAAGGACCTCTCAGGTCAAAAGAATTTAGAGCTCATAATTTTAGGCAGTAAGGAAGCAACTAAACTAAGCACTTTGCATAGATTTTCTCCTTTGATTCTCAAAACAAAACAGTGTGGTAGATAGAGTCATCCTTATTTGGCAGGTAAGAAAACTGAGGTAAAGAAGGGTAACTTAGCCAACGTGAGACAACTAGTGACTGGCAGAATGCAAACCCTCTGGAACACAAGCTCATGCTAACTCAGTCTCTTCATTGTTCTCCAATTGAACCAGAATTCTTGGACATGATTACAGTTTAGGACAAATTGAGTCATGAATATGCTGGTTTCTTGATCATCCTCCATTTCTGACCTTTCACCCTCCCTCTCCCTAATCTATCTCTAACACTTACCACACCCTTGGTCTGTATCTCATCCTCACTGAAGTGCAAATACCATACCAGAGTCTCTTCCCATTACCTCAGAGGTGGGACTACCAACTGGAAGATATTTAGGGATAAATCAGTGAAGGTATCTGTTTAGACAATGCTTGGCAATTTTTTACAAAGCTAAAAGTATAATGATTTCTTGGCAATAGCTGTATCAAAACATTCCTGAATCAAAATGGCCCTACTATCAAAACAGCTATGTCATCAAATAATGGCCAGGTGAAAATACCAGGTGCTATGCACTGAAATAATTAACCCTTGCGATTGTAAATTACAATTAGTAATTCTGTCCTAAGAATGTCTATTCATTTCTCATTTTAGCCTTAAATCTATGAGGCAAGTCCTGTTGTCAATCCATTTTACAGTTAAAAACAACAACAACAGCAGCAACAACAACATATTGAGGATCAGAAAGGTAACATCACACCTTAAAATAGAAGGGCAGCTGGGAATAGAATATAAAATATATAGGGCAGCTCTGAGGAGTCCATGTATTTAATCACAATGTTTATTTTTTTCTGTTGCAAAAATTTAAAAAGGATCATCTAAAAGCTCAGGATCAAAATGTATTTTAAAAGGACTTACAATAACAAAAAGATCATTGCTTTATTTGTTAACATGGAAAAGAGCAGGATAAAGCTTCACAAATTTTGACATTTGTTTTCCTACCAAGCATTAATACCAAAGAAACATTAATCACATATAATTTGGGATGGAATCCTAATCTACTAATGAGTATTTTACATTCTAATTTTCATTCATGTGGCCAGGCACATTGGCTCCTGCCAGTGATCACAGTGCTTTGGGAGGCTGAGGCAGGCAAATTGCTTGGGGTCAAAAGTTCAAGACTAGCCTGGGCAACATCACGAAAGCCCATCTCTACAAAAAATCCAAAAATAAGCCAGGTGTGGTGGCACACGCCTACAATTCCAGCTACTCGGGAGGCTCAGGTGGGAGGATGGCTTAAGCCTGGGAAGTGGAGGTTGCAGTGAGCTAAGATTGTGTCACTGCACGCCAGCCTAGGTGACAGTGCCAGATCCTGTTTCTAAATAAATAAATAAATAATGTTCATGCATTTCAACTCATATTATATCATCACTTTCACAGCTTGAAAACTTTTAGTCTGTTTGTTCCAGTATTTCTAAATAAAATTACTTACTTTAAGGAAACAGTCATTATAAGCTTAGGGGCCAACTTTTGGATATCATGATGTAAAAATTATAAGACACATCCATTTTCTGTAGTTCCCTGTAGACAACCCTCTTTAAATACATGGAAAATAACTACTAAGCTATTTAATAAGAAAATCTTAAATTGCTAATAGCAAAAAATATACAGAACAATAAAAGCACACATTTTCTATATATAATTTTGAAGAGGGAGACCCAGGCATCTCAGACCAACTTCTCCTTTTCATTCCTAAGACTGTAAACCGAAGCCCTTTTCATTTGTGATTCCTGAGAGTGTAAACTGAGATCCTTTTCATATGTTAAGCTATAAACCTAAGATTCTTCCACATGTAACACCTAAAGTATAAGCCTATATAAAGAAGGAACCTTCCTTTGTTATGGGAGCTTGGCTGTTAGGCAAGTATGCCACCTTGCTCCCAGCCGAATAAACTCCTTCCTCCTGTATTCGCTGTCCGAGAGATCCGTTTCCCGCAGCCACTCCTGCTAAAATTTTACGTGTGGTTTAAAACACAAACCACATGACACTCTTATGCTGTTCAACATTAATGACATTTTATGTTCATATATCTGCAGGCAGTTACCCCAAATTGTCATCAGTGGTTGTTCTGGAAGAATAAGATTCAGGAAAACTTTCTCTGACCATTCTGCATATTTCTGGAATGTTTACATTTTAAGTGTCTAATTCTAGCAAATTATTTAATATCTTGTGGCTTTCTCACCTGAGAAAATACAGATAGTAACACCACAGGTAATATGGAATGTTCTGCTTTTATCCAACAATCTCCTGGTTCTCCTGCTTGGAACCTAAGCAAAAATCATTTAATATGGTAAAAATAATGCAACAAATGAGATATCTGTATATCTTATATATGCATATATTTTTTACAAAGTTTTTCAGTATAGCATTGTTCGTTATGTCAAAATTATTAAAATATGGCAGAAGCCTATTAATCAAAAGTTGGTGAGATTAATTTTGATCTATCTAGTTAACAGAACACCTGAACCATTAAAAAATATATGTGGGAAGGCTATATTGTTGATGGGAAAAGATGTTCAAGACACGTTGTTAGGTTAAAAAAGTTACAAAACATAAACCACACTGTGATCTTATAGTGATCAACATTAATGGCATTGTATGTTAATGTATCTGCAGGCACTTACCCCAAATTGTCATCAGTGGTTGTTCTGGCAGAATAAGATGAGAGAAAACTTTCTCTGATCATTTTGCATATTTCTAGAATGTTTAAGTTTTAAAATACTCATGATTTCCTTTTATGGTAAAAAAATAAGATTATTTTTAAATGAAGCAACATCTATAGTTTAAAACGCCTGCTTGATCTTATAACAAAATAAAATGTCAAGCACCTTTGAATCACTGTTTCACACTCGGGACAATTCTTTAAGAATTATTAAATACTGAGAGGCTTATGTGGGAATTCTTCATTCCCTGCCACTTATCTTCTCTTTCTCCAAGCCAAGGCAATGGCCAGCCACGGGGATCAAAACCTAGCAGTTTAAATGGTAGACAACCTAGAGAGTTATTTTCACAGATTACTGCATTAAAAGGAGAGCGTTTCTAAACGTAATTACATAAAGAGGTTGAAAGGTTTTCCTAGAGTAAATCTGCACATGTTAAATTCATAGAACATCAAAGTGATCTCAAGTTAACAACTCCTTTTAAAATATCAATATACAACCAGCAGAGCCTTACTCAGTGAACCCTAGGGAGGAAGAATCAGCATTCATACACACACACTTACACATATACACAACAATAGTCAAAGATGAAAAAGAATTTTTGTGAAGTTTCAAAAGAATGGCTGTTTTTTCTGTTTTCTTATATACTTCATTTTACAGCATTATGTATCACACATGACATCACAATTTAATCAAGACGTTTCTCAAGCCAATTACACATTTCAGAACGAGTATGTATGTTAAGCAGAGATACGTTTTTGCCAACACCAGCAATCATTTCATGTATTGCTCAGAGTCCAAAGGACTCTAGTCTGCTCACCTGGATTTAGCTAAGTAAAATACAGAATCTCAATGAGACATGATATAATGAAAAGAACTTAAATTAGCATTCAACTTAACTCTGTCATTCACTAGTCTCAAAGTTACTCAAAGTCTCTATGCCTGAGGTTTCTTGTGCATGAAATGAAATTAACAATATCTAATTGCAAAATCCCTGTAAGAATTTACCAGTATATATGTGAAATACTAAGCACAGCACTGGAAATCCCCTGTTAACAATATTACTATTATCTTCTGCCCTTATCTGGTGTTGCAGAGTAGCTCACAGATCATCTTGACAGGTGACATTGCTTTCACCACCATCTTAGAATAAATTACTCCAGCCAAAAGTCAGACTATGAAAACTAAACAAACTAATATGTGACTGTTACACTTGATTTTTATGCTGGAATTTGTAACTAGGACTTTTTTTTCTTACCTTCTGTGACCCCCGGAGGTAAGCCAAGAGCGTTCGGCACATGGGTAAAAGGATAAGGCTGCAGTTGAGGTTAAGAACAGATGCGGAGGCTCTGCTTAGACACAATCCTAGCTGAACAAATAAGGCAAGGTCAGCACACAGGTAAAGACAGTAGTAAAGCCCTGATCTGGCTCTACAAGCTACAGGTTTCACCTTATTGCTCTTTTAAGAATCATGCCACATACCAACTCCTTCAAGAGCCTTGAATAGTCTTTCCCTTTCCTCTCACTAAAACCCCCAAGGAACAACTAGTTTCTTTCTGTTCTGCGCTGCCATAAAAGTCAGTACTCCTCTCATTTATGCTACTGTTACAATCATCTGAAAACACTGTTCTGGCAGAAATTCCATTTCTTGTTCTGCTCCTACCCCACTGTTCTGGCTGTTGCCTTAGAGAGTTTACTCCACATTCATGCGGTGTCGGACCCTTTGTTTACTGATAAGGTCACAGTTTTAAATGAAGCTTTTCCATGTGTGTTCTCTCTCTCTGGAACACTCAGTCTCCACAAAACCCACAACACAGCTTTTCTACAAGCTCTGCTTATCACTAACTCTACTCATCTTTCTGGTCTCACAGTAAGCATGACTCTTCTAGATTACTTTTCTGATCAGAAACTAGGAGAGAACTCACCAGTATACATGTGCTCATTGCTTTCTGTACTTCCCTGATTATGTCTCTAACCCTCTTTCTAATCTTTTTTAAAAAAATTATTTTATTTTTAATTGACAAATAATTGTATATCTGTATCGTTACAATATGATGTTTTAATACATGCATGCATTGTGAAATGATCGAATCAGGCTAATTTATATACTCATCTCCCAAAACACTTATCATTTCTTTGTAGTAAAAATATTGATTTACTTTATTCATTTATTTATTATTTGAGGCAGGGTCTTGCTTTTTCTCCCAGGCTGAGTGCAGTGGTGCCATCAGAGCTTGCTGCAGCCTTATCCTCCAAGGATCAAGCTATCCTCCTGCCTCAGCCTTCTGAGTAGCTGGGACTACAGATGCAAGACATGTGGTTAGAATATTTAAAATCCACTCTTAGTTGGGCATGGTGGAATGCACCTGTAGTACCAGTTACTCTGGAGACTGTGGCAGGAGGATTGCTTGAGCACAGGAGCTTGAGGCTGCAGTAAGTCATGTTCATGCCACTGCAGGCCAACCTTGGTGACAGGTCAAGACCCTGTCTCAAAAATAAAAAAGAAGAATAAAATATACTTTTAGCTATTTTGAAAAATACAATACATTATTTTTAACTATAGTCACCATGTTGTGCCATCGATTACCAGGTCTATTTCTGCTAACTGAAACTTTGTGCTCTCTGTGCGCTCCCATCCCCACCCTCTGGTAACCACGCTTCTACTATCTATTTCTATGATTTTAAATCTTTTAGACTGAAAATGTAAGTGAGATCATACAGAATTTGTCTTTCTGTGCCTGGCTTATTTCACTTAGCATGATATCCTCTAGATAACCCATGTTGTTGAAAATGACCAATCTTAAATAAGATAGTACCTTAAAAAACTGAAATTCATGTATTTGACTATGTCTTGGGAAGAAGATATATCCATTCTTTAGAGAACCATTTTCATTTGGTAATAGCTAACTTAAAGCATTGTCTTCATATATTCACACTACATGCATTATGTGCACATTAAAACAAATGAAGAATATAATGGAATAAAAATGCAGAGATGTTAACAAAAGTACACCTAACTCTTATTAGCCACACATGGTGTGGATCCATTTACACTTATTAATACATTAAACCTCTTTCTTCAACCCTAGGAAGTAATTAACAATATTATCTTCCTTCTTAAAAAAGAAAGAATATTCAGTCATCGTGAAGTTAAGAATTTACAGAACATAATACAATCAGAAAGTTGTGGAACCAGAATTCAAGCCCAGATATTCTGGCCCCAGCATCTATACTACTAATGACTACTTTATCCTGTTGCTAAACTGCCTTTAAAAAGAAAATGTCCAAAAGGCACGTGTTAGGTAATAAATATTTTGTTGAATGACTTGATGATTAAATGAACATTTGAGGTAAGCGGTTTTAGGCAACCACCCTAGATAAGACTTCCCACCTAATAACCCTTTCCAGTGCCAGAAAGTTTATTGTTCTTGTCCTTTTATCATCAAAAAAAACCCTGAGGTATAAATATTTGAGAAGCACTAGAGAAGGTCACAGCCTCACATTCATTAAAGATTGCCTACACAGCGTGATTAGGATGGGATTCCTAGCATAATTATTCTGTTACTTCCATTTAGTGTATAACACGTTACCTTGAATTTTTCATGTTTTAACCTATTTCTCTAAGTAAATGTTAAACCCCTCAAGAACAGGGTAAATCCTTCTACAATGTTTTAATATTACCTTACATTTTAATTTTAATTATCTCATTATTAATTGCTTTTGAATATATTTTTATTGTAATCATCAGATCTACTCTGACAGGCTGAGTAGATGTTATAATTGCCATTTCAGAGATGAAGAGCTGCTACAAAATAATAATAATTAGGTCCACAATGAGAAATCCTGAATTCAGTGACTTGGGGTAGTGCTTGAACACTGACATTTTTGAAAGCTCTCCAGATGATTCTAACATGCCACCTGGGTTGAATACCACTACCTAAGGCTATTTAGCTAAACTATACTGTTTACGAGTTACGAAAAAATGACAACCATTAAATTATAATAAGTAAATATAAATGCATATTTCCAAACTTACTGGCCAAATAAAGCTTTAAAAATAGCTCTTTTTAATATTTAAAGTACAACTGCAAATAGTCTAAGCACAAATACAAACAAAGCAAAAACAGCAAATATCTCACCCACAGAAAGCTGACATAGTAAAGTACAACAAACAGGTTTACCGTTTTTTTATCATCCAATGTAGAACAGTCACTAGATTAAGCATTTTTAATGAACAACTGAAAATATTTTCAAAAACTTTATAGAGTAAGAACTATTATACTCATTTTACAGATGACTTGTATAAGGATCTTAGAAGCTGCATACCTTGTCCAAACTAGTTGAAAAGGAATTCTGTACCCTGGACCCTATGACTCTTTCATCTCAGGGTTGAAACCAAGGCAAAAAAAGCACTGAAGGATATGGAAGGATAAATATTAACTTGAGAGACATGAGAAAAGTCTGCTCCAATAGCTCCCATAGGCCATATACATTGTGCTTAGTTGCCAGTAAAATATGTTACTTAAACAAAGGTCTTGGTTTTCATCTTCCATCAAGCCTGACTACTTTAGTTTATTACTTAGTTACAAGTTACCTCTATCATCATAGCCAGTAGTTACAAGTTACCTCTATCATCATAGCCAGTACCATTTCCTCTTTAGTTGTTAAATTGATTAATGTGTTTGTGGCTTATAAGACATCAAACTTTTCTGACCTTCTCTACACATTACCTTGATTCTTATGTATTATCACAAGGACATTCCAAGGAGAAGCAGAAATCCCAAGGGTACCTCATTTCTCCTTACAACTGCCTCTCAACTCTAGGATCTGGCTTACTCCTCCTTTCACTCTTTTCCTGCACCCAGGTAGTAAGTTTTTCAAAGGCAGCATCCTTTTTTTAAAGCTGCATATCCTCAGCCCTAACACAATGGTAGTATTCAATAAATGCTTGTTGAAATAAACTGAATCTCTAAACACATGTACCATGCTCTGATAGGCATTTTATTTGGTTACAATTCTCAACTAAGTTCAAATATTTACAATCTTAGTGGTTATTTAATTTGCGAAGCTTGTATGTCACCAATAACTTTAAAATGATCAGCTTGCAGTATCATGGAAAATATTATGAAGTGGTCACTGAAAACTCCCCACTGTTATCAAGAAGATGAAGTCATTATCTATCTATCTATCTATCTATCTATCTATCTATCTATCTATCTGTCCATCCATCTATCTATCTATCCCGTACAAAAAGCAGACACTTCAAGAAAATTCCTAGTTATATTATGCTTACTCCCAGAATCTGTAGGCAAACCTATCCATCAAAATGGACAATCAATAAATCTTGAGTGAATACACATATGGGAACTAAAAACAAAAGAAATTGAACTCATGGAGACAGAGAATACTGATGGCTACCAGAGGCTGAGAAGAGTAGTGGGAAGTGGAGAGATGAAGAGGCGATGGGAAATGGGTACAAGAAAGCAATTTTATAAAAGGAATAACATCTAATGTTGGATAGCACAATAGGGTGACTGTAATTAATAATAATTTACTGTATATTCCAAAATAACTAAAAGAGTGGAATTACAATTTTCCCAACACAAAGAAATGATAAATGGTTGAGGTGATATATATCCCAACTACTGTTATTACACATTGCATGTTTGTATCAAAATATCATGTGTACTTTATACATATATACAATTAATGTAATAACTGAAAAAAATTAAGAAGGTAAATCTAAGCAAGCCTCAGAAAGAAATATTGTGTGAATAAATGACTGGATGAATAGAAATAAATATGAAGTAAATTTAGAATACATATATTTTGACAAATATAAATGCACAAATATTTCTAATAACAGATTTTGAAAAGACTAAAAACTAATCCAAAATGAAAGTAGAAAGAGACTCCAGATGGCTGACTAGATATAGCCAGGAGGAACATCTTACACTGAGAGACCAGGACATGGGAAAGACTAGAAAACTCCGAGCAGATCTTTAGCAGGAAAGCATTGAAAGTGGATAAAGAGAGGATGCAGACACTGGGCTGAACTTGGGGAGGAAGCTGGGAACCCTGTAAGGGGATGCTGAGTACTGGGGTTCATTCCTGGCCCACAACTCCTAGGGAAGGAGTGAGTTAAACATGTGAGGAGTGGTCTGTTCTTACCAGGAACCTCCAAAAATCCTGGCAGCAAGAGAGCCCATGACTCCCACAGACACTTGAGCTGACAGAGTTGTTCAGAGAGGTAGAAGAAACAGGATTCCATCCTGTGTAGAGCCCAGGCATTTGGCAGAAGAACAGCTGCAGTAAAGCATGGCCAGGGTGCCCATTCCCCCACACTCTCCATGCTTCTCTAAGAGACTTCAACCTTTGAGAAACTGTCAGGCCTGAAAAGAGCACTGTGGTGTTGCAAATGGGATGGGACCAGTCCAAAGTGCACATCCTATGTCTGCTGGCCTCTCCTGGGGCCCCAGCCTGGCTGTACCTGCTTGAAACACTCTGATGCCCAACCAAGTTGCTTCCCTGGGGTTATCATCATAGCTCCTTCACTGGAAGACCATGCCTGATTGTTGGAAAGTTCCAGTAGACCAGCCCCTGACAATGCCCACTAGCCAATCTGCAGCCTTGCCCCACTACAGTCTCTGTCTCCCCATGTAGGCAGACCTTCCTCCCTTACTCAGCCAGTACATGTGTGTACATGCACCCCACTGTGCCACCACAGCTGGTGCAAGTAGAGTTCATTGTCCAACCCCCACTGACAGAGGAGCCACCCTGCTACACTGCCACCACCAGCACAAATGCATACATGGATGCTGGCAACCCTGCCTCTGCCTCTGCCACCCCCCTACACCAGCCACACTGCCGCTACCATAGGCATGAGCATACACAGAACCACTGCAGGCTCACTGCCACCGGTGCCCCACCCAAGCCCCACTCCAACAGGAGTGAACCCTGCCAGCACCAGCATTGTAGAGTTGTGGCCAGAAGAATGGGATACCTCAGCCTCCCAACAAATCAGATTCTAAACCTCAAAGGGCCAGAGACCAAAGCTGAGGTCCTGGTATAACACCCTAGACTTAAACATGCAGTCCAGGAGTGCTGAGCTAATACTTGGCCCCCTAAAACCTTCCAGAAATAAATTCGGTCTATTGAACCTACCTTAAACCAGAACCAAAACTGTAAAAGCATCAAAGAAAATTAAAAAAAAAAAAAAAGTCACCTGAAGAACAATAACTCCAAAGACTTAGGGAACATCAGTCCATACAGATGAGAAGGAACCTGGCAACTCAAAAATCTAGAGTGTCTTCTCACCTCCAAATGACCACACCAGGTCCAAGGCAATAACTATGCTGAAATGACTAAGATGTCAGAAATAGAATTCAGAATATAGACAGAAACAAACATCATAGAGATTCAGGAGAAAGTCAAAACCAAATCAAAGGAAACTAAGAAATGCAATAAAATGATGCAGGAAGTGAAAGAAGAAATGGCCATTTTAAGAAAGAACCAAAGTGATCTGATGCAGCTAAAAAATTCACTACTAGAATTTCATAATCCAATCACAAGTATTAACAGCAGAATATACCAAACTGAGGAAAGAATATTAAAGCTTGAAGGCCAGTTCTCCAAATTAACTCAGATAAAAATAAAGAAAAAAGAATGAATGAGAACTCTAGGAAATATGGTATTAAGTAAAAGGACCAAATCTATGACTAATTGGCATCCCTGAGAGAGAGTAAGCTAATTGGAAAACATATTTGAGGACATAATTCATGAAAACTTCCCCAACCTTGCTAGAGAGTCTATCACTCAAATTCAGGAAGTGCAGAGAACCCCTGTGAGCTCCTATGCAAGATGACCATCCCCAAAACATAGTCATCAGATTCTCCAAGATCAAAATGAAAGAAAAATCGTTAAAGGCATGTCAAACTACAAAGGGAATACTTTCAGGCTAAAGTGGACCTTTGCACAGAAACCTTATGAGACAGACAAAACTGGGAGCTTATATTCAGCATTCTTAAGGAAAATAAATCCCAACCAAGAATTTCATATTCAGCCAAACTAAGCTTCATAAACAAAGGAGAAATGAGATGCTTTTCAGGCAAGCAATTGCTAAGGAAATTCCTAACCACAAGACCTGCCTTCTAAGAGATCCTGAAGGGAGTGCTAAATATAAATACAAAAGACCATTACCAGCCCCACTAAACAAACTTAAGTACATAGACCATTGACACTATAAAGCAACTATACAATAAAGTCTTCAGAATAACCAGTTAACAACATGATGGGGATCAAATTCACACATGTCAATAATAAGATTGAATGTAAACAGGCTAAATGCCTGAATTAAAAGACACAGAGTGGCAAGCTGGAAAAAGACAGAAGAGCCAACTGTATGCTTTTTTCAACAGCCCCATCTCACATGCAATGACATCCATAGGTTCAAAGTAAAAGGATGGAAAAATATCTACCAAGTAAACAGAAAACAGAAAAAGCAAGGGTTGCTATTCTAGTTTCTGACAAAATATACTTTAAACCAACAATGAACAAAAAAGACAAAGAAGGACATTACATAATGGTAATGCTAAGTAGATATGAACTCAACCCAGGAGCACCCAGATTCATAAAAAAGTTCTTAGACCCCTATGAAGAGACTCAGATAACCACACAATAATAACAGGAGACTTCAAAACCCCACTGATAGTATTAGGCAGATCCTTGAGTCAGAAAACTAACAAAGATATTCAAGACATGATCTTGATCCTTGACCAAATGGACCTAAGAGACATCTACAGGACACTTCACCCAAAAGCAATTGAATATACAATCTTCTCATATGCACATGGCATATATTCTAAAATTGACCACATGCTCAGCCATAAAACAATTTTCAGCAAAATTTGAAAACTAAAATCATAGCAATCACACTCTTGGACCACAATGCAATAAAAGCAGAACTTAATACTAAGAACTTAGCACTAACAACTTAATACTTAATCTTAGTATTAAGGTTTAATTTTCATGGTTTAGTTTCCACATAACCACACAATTACATGGAAATTAACCTGCTTCTGGATGACTTTTGAATAAAAAATGAAATTATGATAAAAATCAAGAAATTATTTGAAACTAAGAAGAACAAAGATACAACATACCAGAATCTCTGGGACACAGCTAAAGGAGTATAAAAAGGAAAGCTTATAGCACTAAACACTCACATCAAAAAGTTAGAAAGATTTCAAGTTAACAACCTATCATACCTAAGGGAACAAAAAATAACAAAAATCAGAGATGAACTGAATGAAACTGAAAGAGGAAACATCATACAAAAGATTAAGAAATTGTAAAATTGGTTTTTTGAAAGAATAAATAAGATTGATGGACAGCTAGCTAGACTAATACAGAAAAAGAGAGAAGATCCAAATAAACACAATCAGAAATGACAAAAGAAACAGAATCACAGACTTCTCAGAAGTACAAAAAACAGTCAGAGACTATTATGAACATCTCTATGCACACAAACTAGAAAACCTACAAGAAATGAAGAAATTTCTCGAAACATAAACCTTCCAAGATTAAACCGGGAAGAAATTGATACCCTGAACAGACCACATAGTAAGTTCCAAAATTGAATTAGTAATAAAAAGCCTACCAACCAGAAAAATCCCAAAACCAGACAGATTCATAGCCAAAATCTACCAGATGTATAATGAAAAGATAATATCATTCCTACTAAAATTACTCCAAAAAAAAAGTGAGAAGGGACTTCCCCCTAGCTCATTCCGGTACCAAAACTAGCATCATTCTGGTAGCAAAGCCTGGCAGAGATACTACAAAAAAAAGAAAACTTCAGGTCAATATCCTTGATGAAAATAGAATCAAAAATCCCCAATAAAACACAAATAAATTAAGTCCACCAGCACATCAAAAAGTTTATCCACCATAATCAAGTAGGCTTTATTCCTGAGACGAAGGCTGGTTCAATACACACAAATCAATAAATGGTATACACATCACATAAACTTAAAAAACAAAACATGATCATCTCAATAGATGCAGAAAAGACTCTGAGTAAAATTTAACATTGTTTCATGTTAAAAACCCTCAACAAACTAGGTGTTGAAGGAAGACATAATAATAAGAGCTATCTATGACAAACCCACAGTTAACATCACTCTAAAAAGCGAAAAGCTGTAAGCATTCCCCTTGAGAACTAACACAAGACAAGGATGCCCTATCTAACCACTTCTATTGAACGTAATACAGGAAGCCCTAGATGGAGCAGTCAGCTAATAAAAAAAATTAAAAACATCCAAATAAGAAGAGAAGAATTCAAATGATCTCGGTTTGCAAATGATATGATTCTATGCCTAGAAAATCCCATAATCTCTGCCCAAAAGCTCCTAGCTCTAATAAACAACTTCAGTAAAGTTTAAAGATTAAATAAATGTACCAAAATTAGTAGCATTTCTATACACCAACGATGTCCAAGCTGGGAGCCAGATCAAGGTCACAATCCCATTCACAACATCTACAAATATAATAAAATACCTAGAAATACAACTAACCAGGGAAGTGAAAGATCTGTGTAAGAGAATCACAAAATACTGCTGAAAGAAATCAGAAATAATACAAACAAATCCAAAAACATTCCATGTTCATAAATGAGAAGAATCAATATAGTTAAAATGGGCATACTGGTCAAAACAATTTACAGATTCAATATCATTCCTATCAAACTACCAATGCCAGCCACCACAGAACTAGAAAAACCTATTTTAAATTAATGTGCAACCAAAAGGAGCCCAAGTAACCAAGGCAACATCAAGCAAAAAGAATGAAGCTGGATGCCTCACATTACCTGACTTCAAATTATACTACAAGGCCACGGTAACCAAAGCAGCATGGTACTGATACAAAAACACACACATAGGCTAATGGAACAGAATACAGTGCCCAGAAATAAAGTTGCATACCTACAACCATCTTATCTTCGACAAAGACAACAAAAGAAAGCAATAGGAAATAATGGTGCTAGGATGACTGCAACTATATCCTCCTAGCATCAGTATGATGGTGCTAGGATAACTGGCTAGCCATTTGCAGAAGATTTAATCTGGACCCCTTCCTTAAAGCAATATAAAAATCAACTCAATATGAATGAAAGACTTAAATGTAATATCTAAAACTATAAAATCCCCAGAAGATAACCTGGGAAAAATACCATTCTGGACATAGACCTTAGCAAAGATTTCATGATGAAGACAACAAAAGCAATTACAACAAAAATGAAAATGGACAAATAAGATCTAATTAAACTAGTAGCTTCTGCACAACAAACTAGAAACAGAAAACCTGCAGAATGGGTGAAAATATTGCAAACCATACATATGACAAAGGTCTAATACACAGATTCTACAAGAAACTTACACAAATTAATAAGCAAAAAACAATTTCATTAAAAAGTGGGCTAAGGACATAAAAAGACACTTTTCCAAAGAAGACATACATGTGACCAACAAGCATATGAAAAAAAGTTCAACATCATTAATTATTAGAGAAATGCAAATCAAAACCACAATGAGATACCATCTCACACCTATCAGAATGGCTATAACTCAAAAAACAACAGATGCTGGGAAAGTTGCAGAGAAAAGGGAACACTTACCTGCTGTTCATGGGAATGTGAATTAGGTCAGCCCCTGAGGAAAATAGTTTTGCAATTTCTCAAAGAACTTAAAACAAAACTATCATTGAGGCAATTCCATGATTGAATATATACCCAAAAGCATATAAGTCATTCTACCATAAGGACACATACACACATACATTATCACAGCATGGAATCAACCTAAACGCTCATGAATGACAGACTGGATAAAGAAAATATGGCACAAAGATAGCACAGAATACTGCACAGCCATAAAAGTGAAACAAGATCATGTCCTTTGCAAGAAATATGAATGGGGCTGGAAGCTATTATCCTAAAAGGAAAAGAAAACCAAATGCTGTGCACGTGTTCTTACTTACAAATTGAGAGTTAAACATTGAGCAGACAGGAACGGAATGAATGGAGCAGACACCAGGGTCTAATTGAGAGCAGAGGGTGGGAGGAGGGTGACGTTCAACAAACTGTCTAACTGGTACTATGCTTATTACCTGGGTGAAAAATAATCTGTACACTAAACCCCCAAGAAACAATTTATCCCTATAGCAAACCTGCACATGTAGCACTAACCCTAAAATAAGTTTTAAAAATATTTTAAAAAAATATTTTAATCCAATATTGACATTGTGGAAGAGAAGAAAGTGGACTGAGGGAACCAAAACCTTATTAAAGAACATCTTATACGTCACTGGTCTTAAAGTAAAACTGACCAGTAAAATCCCACTATTATCTCTTTCAAGTCATGGAAAAATTATATAAATGTTC